GCAGGACAAGCAGGAGAAGCAGGAGAAGCAGGAGTAGCAGGAGCAGGAGCAGGAGCAGGAGCAGGAGGAGGAGTAGGAGGAGTAGGAGTAGGAGTAGGAGTAGGAGTAGGAGTAGGAGTAGGCGTAGGCGTAGGCGTAGGCGTAGGCGTAGGGGTAGGGGTAGGGGTAGGGGTAGGGGTAGGAGCAGGAGTAGGAGTAGGAGTAGGAGTAGGAGCAGGAGCAGGAGTAGGAGTAGGAGTAGGAGTAGGAGCAGCAGCAGCAGCAGCAGGTGGCAGTAGCAGTAGCAGTAGCAGTAGCAGTAGCGAGCACAAGCAGAGCAGAAGCAGCAACGACAAGACAAGGGGAAAATTGCTGACGTCGTCTTCGTTGGCGTGAAGTCCTAAGCTACTCGAAGTAGCGCAAACACCTCTGTTCATCGTTGCCTGCTGTGAATGTGTGATGGCTCTGAAGCTTCAGTTTCTGCTTCCCTGTTTCCAAAGAGGCCTGTGTGTCATGTCGATAATCGTTGCTACCGGCTGCAGACTTACGCATTCCACATTGCGTTCAGTCAGCTTTATCTTGTTCCAATGCTGACGCACGGTGTTGCCACCTGCTGAAGCAAGAAGCTTGAGCTATTCTCAACCAGTCATCCACCATGGCTCTGTCATGTTTGCTTAGTTCTTTGCTGCTAGTGTTGCTGTCGTGGCGGTGTTGGTGCTGGTGCTGGTGCTGGTGCTGGCGGTGGTGGTGCTGCTGGTGCTGGCGCTGGCGCTGGTGCTTGCGCTGGCGCTGGCGCTTGCGCTGGCGCTGGCGCTGATGTTGGTGCTGGCGCTGGCGCTGGTGCTGGTGCTGCTGGCGCAGGTGGTGCTGGGCTGCTGCTGCTGCTGCCGCCGCCGCTGATGGTGCTGTCGTTATGGTTCATCTTTTGCAAAATAACATAATGTAGCATCGAGACTATGCTATATAATTTATGGTGCGTACTAGTTGTACTACGCACGGCCAACATCCTTCTTTGTGCGAGGCTTTTCCCTTTCGAGAACCGGATTTGCCAGCCTGCGCCGGTCCATCAACCTCCTCGGTCTTCCCGGCCACGTACTGGGTCTCACCGTCCACCTGCCGAGGTCTCCGAACGCCACGCTTTGTGAGTTGAGGACGAATATGTTTCTTTGAAGTTGGCCTGGTCTGCAACTGAAGCTTGAAGCCCGGAACCCGCATCTCCGTAACACCGAAATTTCAAACGTCATAATCCCTGAATCTTAATTCGTCGAGTCCAAAGTTTCGGACTTCCGCTTGCAATTTGCGGGGCTCTCGAACTAGGAACTGCTGATCAGATCACTGCACCCTCAACCCTCCGAAGGTTTGGAGCTGGATGGTTTCCCCAAGAAACCCTACACACAAAACCCAAGTCAACGGTGGGTTAGGGAGGCCTTGAGCAGCGAGGGGCGGATGCAAAAATGAGCACGAATATGTACATAGACGTATATAACTATATAAATATACATGTCCATATGCATATACATCTACATCTACACATATACATGCACGTATGTCTAAAAATCGACTGCGCATATATATATATATATATATGTAGGTGCATATGTATATGTGTGAGTGTCTATATATCATGCATGCATCCAGACATACATACATAAGTACGTACATGCATCCATACATACATGCATACTCTCACTTTCCTCGTCGCAGAAGAGGTCATTTCGGCGAACGTTGCGGAGGACAGGTCTTATGACCCGGCTGCAGCTGTGCCTTATGCACAACCCCCAGGCAAAGTAACGACTCCTGGCACGTATGCCCAAAAGCAGAGTCAGCCGCATCGAATGTACCAGAAAAGATAAATCTCACGAGCGAGGTTATCAAACTCACCATCAATCAAAGACGACAACACACCATCATCCGCCAGTCTGTAGCTACCATCCCGAACATCATACAGCAGGTTGACGTAACGTCCGCTGTTCGGAGGCTTTCCCCTATGTAAAATCACTGAGCAAAGCTGGTACGTCACAGCATGAACATCCACTTGAATCGAAGCTGAGAGAGCCGCAGGGGTGTATGGTGGGCCCGTGGGTTTGCAGGCCCCCGTCCTTGGAACGAAGCCGGGGACGCCAGGCGCCGGCACTGCTTGCGAAGTTCCCGGTTGATGGCCTGCTGCAAGCGCACTGTGTAGTGCCAAGCATTCCATACGGCCTGAAGCTCTGGGGCATCACCTGCCGGACGGTCTTGTTGATGATCCCTGTTCCGGTCTGTTTGCCACTCGGAGCCTGAACTTGTACCTCGTGCTCATGTGGGAGGGCATGTTGCCAGCCTGACAGAAGGATGGAGTCCACATGGGAGTCGGGGGTTATGGCAAGGAGATGTGGTGTGACCTGTGCGACGGAAGCCTCTGTGATGCCGTGGTTGCGGAGGTTCTTCCTGACCAAGGCCATGGAGAGTTTAGCGTGGAGAGTTTAGCGGCATCTGGTGGTTGCTTCCGTGGCCTACTTGGCGCCCTGATCGCCGTTGTCACCGGTAAGTGCCGGCAACCAGTGCCCGGCACGAATGGGGTGTATAGGGGATGTGCTTTCTTGGCCTCATCAGCCACTATGGCACCCCTCGCTATGATAAAGTCGATCTGGGAGCCCGGCTGCTTGTCCTTGGCACCCTGGTGGCAGGTACGTCCGGGGGTTGTTGCTTGAACCTTCAGGCGTTGAGCACCGCACACTCATGGATTCTGAGCAGGTCCTGGAACTCGCCTTGATCTTTGCGCGGTCCTTGTCCAGGGTGGACACCGGACCAATGATCGGCTGCTCCTCCTCCGCGAACACGTTAAAGTCTCCTGCCATAACGCAGACATTCCTGGAAGGGATTGTCCATTGCTCTATGTTGTTCCATACCTTTTTGACGTTGTCGCAGAGGGGCCTCCGGTTTTCGATCTGTAGGCAATGACGTCTTGCGCAAGTTCCATGCATCTTAATAAATCCCAAGCACGTCTAGCGGAACTGCTGTTAATAATCGAACGCGCAGGCCGTCTGGGTGTGAACGGAGTCCACGCCAACCCACGTGGTAGGAGGTCTTCGGAGTCAAGGTCATCAATGTCTTGGCGCTCCCAGATGTCGAGCTCCGCAACCGGAAGTGGTGCGGATCTATGGTGCAGCGGTCGAGGCGGTGGTGGCGCTCTCCGAGGTGATCGAGATCTGCACGCCTCCTCTCTCGCAGCCATGTCCGCCTGGTGTTGCAGGCACTAAAGCGTCGCTCATTGTCTGGAGCCTGTGTACTGGCGTAGGCCGTGCAATCAAACTGCGAGTCAGCAATCCCTGCCGCCAGGAGGTGTCCTGCCAGTTGCTGCAGCCGTGTATGCAGATGGCGACATTGGGTGCCTATGCCGTAGATCATGGCACTATGAAAGAGCAGCACTAGCACCCGGGATGAAGAGCGCCAGCAATGCCCATTCAACTTGGCAGCGAGTCGGGCCAAGGTTACTTTGGTGGAGACGCATGGCTCCCTGCAGGCACCGCCGAGTCCCAGTCCCGAGTCCTCTGGCCCACTCGGAGCAGCTAGTCCAGTTCCTCCAAGACCGAGTCCTGGCAACTGTTTACCGCTGGCAGAACAGCGCTCCCAAGAGCAGGATATACATTATAACCTTTCTGAAGAAGTGCACGACTGGACGATGTTTGCCCTCCAGGAGAAACCAGCCCTCAAAGAAGATGCCAAAAGCCCCTTCATGTGCCCATGCAGCATCATATCGTAGCTGAAGCTCTTGTCTCTCCAGAGCCGGCTTGACGTCCCACTGAATGGGCAAGGCAATGCCCAGTTTATAGTGTTCTGCATAAGTGTGCTGAGCATATCAGGACACAGCAGACGGCCGGGGATCTTTGGAATCTCGTTTTGGCCATGTAGCGCACAACACTCCATGGCGAGCATGTATGCCCATTCCCTGAAACAAGACCAAACCCCTCTGCAAAGCAGCAATCGACGGCTGCCCCTCTTCGCCGTTCACCAGACCAGGGAGACAGCCCACGACCCCACAGAACTTCACTCGAAGGCAGCAAGCCTCCACAGCCTGCCGTCCGAATATGTTGGAGCCGAGAGGCATATACATACATACATACATAC